CTTAAGTCATAAAACTAAATTTGCTCTGCCCAGATCTTACAGTCGTTGGTCTACAGTTGGTAAGATTTAGCTAATCATGCTTAAAGTTGACTTTTTTCCAATGCAAGTCAATAACAGTATAGTTGCTGAATCAATTTTGGTGGCCCATCTGTGCTAGCAGCACCTGCTCAGGGACGGGAGTCATCTCTCACAGGTCTTACGGAGTCTGAATGTTGAGCTCCAGAAAGAAAATATGAGATAGAGAAAGTGAAAAAAATAAATCCCCCCACATTTTTAATATCTCAACATTGAGGATCTCCTAAGTGATGCAACAGAACTTTAGTAGCTGTTCAGTGTCCAACAGTAAAAGGCAGAGGGTTGCACTTTGTGTTGAAAAAAGATGGTGTTGGAAAATGTAAAACAAGGAGCTTTCAGCCCTTTCTTTGTAACATGAAATCTGTCAAAACCAACAAGTAACTGGTGTTGTCTTTGAAGTGATAATACCAGACAGACAGGATCTGTGATGTCACACAGCAGTTGAAAAGTGTCCAAATAACAAAGATGTCAGAAAGTCAGTAAATAACAAGGATGCCATGAGTCATCACGTTCTGGCCACTACGTTTGAGCTTTAGATTGGAGCTTAACATAATAGTTTCTCCTATTGTTCTGCCAATCCTCTGTTACGTCCCAAAGGTTAATTAATTATTTTCATCAGGCTTCCTCTTGCCAATTGTTTTCCTTCGCCGGTTTCTCTTTGAGCTATTCATAAGGCGTCCTAAGTGACTGGAAACAAAACAGCAGGAGGGAAAGTTAATTTTTAAACAAGAAGGACTCCAGCCTGAGACGGGACAAGTCAGTGAGGATAAACCATCTACAGCAGCAGGTGTAGCAGCAGGGATGCATTGGCTCAATACTCCGTCCTGCTGGTGTTTAAGAGAAACCAACTTGAATGCCTGACTGCTACGAGGTTGTTGTTCTCTGGGCGACCTCTGACCTCTCTGCAAAAAGGAAAATAAACAAATGACGAGAAGAGGCCGTTATTAAGAACAGAAGATTGATTATTTAATCGCCAAAGTGTGTCAAGAAGTCTTGGCAGATTTGTTGAAGTGTTTGAGTCTTAAAACCCTGGGCTTCGTTTTAATAGAGATTTAAATTCATGTCGGTGATTAGTCTGACGTTAGGTTGACTGAATGTTAGGTTGACTGAACGTTAGGTTGAATGTTAGGTTGACTGAACATTAGGTTGACTGAACGTTAGGTTGACTGAACGTTAGGTTGAATGTTAGGTTAACTGAACGTTAGGTTGAATGCTAGGTTAACTGAATGTTAGGTTGACTGAATGTTAGGTTGACTGCATGTTAGGTTGACTGAACGTTAGGTTGAATGTTAGGTTAACTGAATGTTAGGTTGACTGAATGTTAGGTTGAATGTTAGGTTGACTGAATGTTAGGTTGAATGTTAGGTTAACTGAATGTTAGGTTGAATGTTAGGTTAACTGAATGTTAGGTTGACTGAATGTTAGGTTGACTGAATGTTAGGTTGAATGTTAGGTTGACTGAATGTTAGGTTGAATGTTAGGTTAACTGAATGTTAGGTTGACTGAATGTTAGGTTGAATGTTAGGTTGACTGAATGTTAGGTTGACTGAATGTTAGGTTGACTGAACGTTAGGTTGAATGTTAGGTTAACTGAATGTTAGGTTGACTGAATGTTAGGTTGAATGTTAGGTTGACTGAATGTTAGGTTGACTGAACGTTAGGTTGACTGAACGTTAGGTTGAATGTTAGGTTAACTGAACGTTAGGTTGAATGTTAGGTTGACTGAATGTTAGGTTGACTGACTGTTAGGTTGAACGTTAGGTTGACTGAACGTTAGGTTGAATGCTAGGTTAACTGAATGTTAGGTTGACTGAATGTTAGGTTGACTGCATGTTAGGTTGACTGAACGTTAGGTTGAATGTTAGGTTAACTGAATGTTAGGTTGACTGAATGTTAGGTTGAATGTTAGGTTGACTGAATGTTAGGTTGACTGAATGTTAGGTTGAATGTTAGGTTGACTGAATGTTAGGTTGACTGAATGTTAGGTTGACTGAACGTTAGGTTGAATGTTAGGTTAACTGAATGTTAGGTTGACTGAATGTTAGGTTGAATGTTAGGTTGACTGAATGTTAGGTTGACTGAATGTTAGGTTGAACGTTAGGTTGACTGAACGTTAGATTGACTGAATGTTAGGTTGACTGAACGTTAGGTTGAATGTTAGGTTAACTGAATGTTAGGTTGACTGAATGTTAGGTTGAACGTTAGGTTGACTGAACGTTAGGTTGAATGCTAGGTTAACTGAATGTTAGGTTGACTGAATGTTAGGTTGACTGCATGTTAGGTTGACTGAACGTTAGGTTGAATGTTAGGTTAACTGAATGTTAGGTTGACTGAATGTTAGGTTGACTGAACGTTAGGTTGAATGTTAGGTTAACTGAATGTTAGGTTGACTGAATGTTAGGTTGAATGTTAGGTTGACTGAATGTTAGGTTGACTGAATGTTAGGTTGACTGAACGTTAGGTTGAATGTTAGGTTAACTGAATGTTAGGTTGACTGAATGTTAGGTTGAATGTTAGGTTGACTGAATGTTAGGTTGACTGAATGTTAGGTTGAACGTTAGGTTGACTGAACGTTAGGTTGACTGAATGTTAGATTGACTGAATGTTAGGTTGACTGAATGTTAGGTTGACTGAACGTTTGGTTGAATGTTAGGTTGACTGAACGTTAGGTTGAATGTTAGGTTGAATGTTAAGTTGAATGTTAGGTTGACTGAATGTTAGGTTGACTGAACGTTAAGTTGACTGAACGTTAAGTTGACTGAATGTTAAGTTGACTGAATGTTAGGTTGACTGAACGTTAAGTTGACTGAACGTTAAGTTGACTGAATGTTAAGTTGACTGAACGTTAGGTTGACTGAACGTTAGGTTGAATGTTAGGTTGAATGTTAGGTTGACTGAACGTTAAGTTGACTGAATGTTAGGTTGACTGAATGTTAGGTTGACTGAATGTTAGGTTGAACGTTAGGTTGACTGAACGTTAGGTTGACTGAACGTTAGGTTGACTGAATGTTAGGTTGACTGAATGTTAGGTTGAACGTTAGGTTGACTGAACGTTAGGTTGACTGAATGTTAGGTTGACTGAATGTTAGGTTGACTGAACGTTAGGTTGAATGTTAGGTTGACTGAATGTTAGGTTGACTGAATGTTAGGTTGAACGTTAGGTTGACTGAACGTTAGGTTGACTGAACGTTAGATTGACTGAATGTTAGGTTGACTGAATGTTAGGTTGACTGAACGTTAGGTTGACTGAACGTTAGGTTGAATGTTAGGTTGACTGAACGTTAGGTTGAATGTTAGGTTGAATGTTAAGTTGAATGTTAGGTTGACTGAATGTTAGGTTGAATGTTAAGTTGAATGTTAAGTTGAATGTTAGGTTGACTGAACGTTAGGTTGAATGTTAGGTTGAATGTTAAGTTGAATGTTAGGTTGACTGAACGTTAGGTTGAATGTTAGGTTGAATGTTAAGTTGAATGTTAGGTTGACTGAATGTTAGGTTGACTGAATGTTAGGTTGACTGAACGTTAGGTTGAATGTTAGGTTGAATGTTAAGTTGAATGTTAGGTTGACTGAATGTTAAGTTGACTGAATGTTAGGTTGACTGAACGTTAAGTTGACTGAACGTTAAGTTGACTGAATGTTAAGTTGACTGAACGTTAGGTTGACTGAACGTTAGGTTGAATGTTAGGTTGACTGAATGTTAGGTTGACTGAACGTTAAGTTGACTGAACGTTAGGTTGAATGTTAGGTTGACTGAACGTTAGGTTGAATGTTAGGTTAACTGAATGTTAGGTTGACTGAACGTTAGGTTGAATGTTAGGTTGAATGTTAGGTTGAATGTTAGGTTGACTGAACGTTAGGTTGAATGTTAAGTTGAATGTTAGGTTGACTGAATGTTAGGTTGACTGAATGTTAAGTTGACTGAACGTTAGGTTGAATGTTAGGTTGACTGAATGTTAGGTTGACTGAATGTTAGGTTGAACCTTAGGTTGACTGAACTTTAAGTTGACTGAACGTTAAGTTGACTGAACGTTAGGTTGACTGAATGTTAAGTTGACTGAACGTTAAGTTGACTGAATGTTAAGTTGACTGAATGTTAGGTTGAATGTTAGGTTGACTGAACGTTAAGTTGACTGAACGTTAGGTTGACTGAATGTTAAGTTGACTGAATGTTAGGTTGAATGTTAGGTTGACTGAACGTTAAGTTGACTGAACGTTAGGTTGACTGAAATTTAGGTTGAATGTTAGGTTGAATGTTAGGTTGACTGAATGTTAAGTTGACTGAACGTTAAGTTGACTGAACGTTAGGTTGACTGAATGTTAGGTTGACTGAATGTTAGGTTGAATGTTAGGTTGAGGCAGCATTGCCAGCATGACGACCAACAACTACAGGTTCCCAAAGCCACCATCAGTAACCAATGGATGATGTCACTCAGGCTTCATCCATGTTTATTACTCATAATGATATGCTAATCTGAAAGTACATAGTTCTCCATTTGTTCATGAAGATTGGGCCTGTAAATTTGCTTAATCACCCTCTTAAACAAAGAAACGGCGACACAGACGGAAAAGTGATGACAGGCGTTGGGTCAACAAACAGATATCTGCATATGAATGAATACACTGTCTGCTCAGGACTAGATGTTGGTGTCAAACGTTTTTTCTTTGGATGGTTTTGGACTTTTAGTTCAGTCAGGAAAGAAGTTCATGTGGAGAGCAGACAAAGAATCCACAGAGAATTGTGTTATTGCAGCTTCAGCTTTCCAAACGTTCATAAAAAGAACTTCAATGAGTGAAATCAAATAAAATCACCCTGCATCTGAAGGTTCATTTGTTTTGTTGATGTTTTTATATTTATTCAGATTCAGCATTTCTCAAGCCTTCATTTTGAAGTATTAATCTCTTGTTGTTTTCTCTTTTTATCTCAG